ACAGACTAGCAATTTGCAAATTCGTGGATTAGAGTAAATAATAAGGAAGATTACATATTCAGGGTATCCAAGGGGAAAAGCCTAATAAAAAGACCTAAATCTTCATGATCCCATGCCCTGAAACATGCAATGACTTGGTGAATTAAAAATGAATGTTATCTACATTAAAAGATGGTACAGGTTCTCAATTTGCAAAGTCGTGGATTAGAGTAAAGAATAAAACAAGTTACATATTCAGGGTATCCAAAGGGGGAAAGCCTAATAAAAAGACACCTTAATTGCTTTTTGCGTTTCTTACCCAGATGGGAAAAGCGTCAGCTCAGGGGAGTTCTCTATTTCATTTTACACGCACCGCAAAGAGACCCGGTGAATGGGATATCGTCAACATGTCTGTCCTTGGTGCTAGTTTTACGGTTATTGCTGGCATGCTAGCTATATATACACAATGGAATTTACAGGTAGAATTGGGTGTGTGGGCAATGTCGACGGTGACTACGTTTACACTGAGACCTGTTCAAAAGTATGAAAAGATGTTAGGCTTATGTTAAAGCTTGTACGAGGAAATCACTTATTAATGCATGCATGGTATGGAATAACTGTTAGTGGTACAAAGTGTGGTGACTCATGTCTCTTTTGCTAAGGATTATGCTGATATAGTTGTAATGAATGGTCGGAAAATGGCATTTTTATAGAGGACCAGTCATTTGTTTTATGTATCAGGCGCATTGTAATTAGATTCGAACGCATATTTTACGATAAAAACGCCCAAGATTTAGACCAGTATTAGGTTAGGTCGTGCACCATTTCAGACCAAAAAAAGCCTAAGTTATTTCTAATATCAGACATAACCTTCCATTCCGGCACTTTTATAATACCCAATATTGCTTGCCATTTGCCGGGCAGGCCGTGAAACCATAAAGTCTAGTACCCCAGCGTCCGACTCTGACTTTTAACGGCACATCTTTATCTGATTCCGCCGCTGTCCCCGGGCAAACGGCTCCGATGTCCGCTCGTAAACAGTAAAAGATACGGTGAGCTTCACATCTTGTTACATGGCCGGCCAGGGCTTAATGGTCGCACCGGGAGGTGGCCGTGTTGTTAAGCGGTATGTGGTAGTTTTACCCGATGACTGTCAGGCGGGTCGTAAATGAAGACATCAACTCGCGGAGGGTAAGGGTAAGGGGAAGGCCGCCCGTTTGAGGACGGTAAAGCTGTCGTAAACTACGGGCTAATGCGAACTGGGAGGTCGGGGTGGTTTCCGTGAATAACCTTGTGAGAGGAGGGGGTGCAGATATATAGATTAGCACCATTAGCCAGCACCTTACATGATTTGATTTGATTTCTTGAAATTGCAACAGTGCAATACACGCGGAACAGAGGCAGCTGTTGCTGGTGTTGTGTCCCGCACATAGAAACGAATACTGGGCAGACAATACTAGTACTCGTTTTCACTTGTCTAGTGGGGAAAGTCGTGTAAAGTACCTTTTCCAAGGGCGCCAAGATCGGTGGCATGTCAGGACTCGAACCCGGGACCTCTTGATTCCGAGTAGCGCACGCTGCCGTTGCGCCACACGACCCCACGACGAGGGTTACATAGGGACTGTTAGAATTACATATAGACAGTTCTAGCCTGGATGCCATCATATTTACCGGGGCTCCCATACTTCAGGAAGCGAGCATGGCGTTACCAGTTTACAAATAGAAAGTTACCAAGTCCAAGGCTAGATGTTATGACGATCGAGGCCCAAAAGAAAAGAACTCGAGATCCTTAATCAACGAATGGACCTGAGTTATCAGATTGTACATGTGCCCCTTTTATAGCGTGTTAATAGGTTGCCGTTGGCGGGTTGCATGCACAGCGGACATTTCGAAAGCCTCAAAGAACGAGAAATTGCTTTCAATGGTATATCACAAGTAGGGGTGAATATTAAGCGTGCCGAGGCCCAAGGCATATTGAATTAAGGCTAAACAAATGTCCACATCAATCTTATTTTTCAGGCTTGGGTGGCCGTTTCCTTCTGTTAAAGCATGTTTACCTTTTCAGATGCAGCTTGGGAAGTAAGAACAATTTAGTACGCATAGCAAGTTTTCACTCATCCAGTGCAGCTATTTTCTGAGAATGGTACATTCCATCCAATAGCAAATAATAATAATGTATCATTCACTTGGCACGTAATGTACAAAATAGCATGTCCTTATGAATTGGGTCCTGAATTGATATGACATTGATTTTGATTTGATCTGATTTTTGCTCATGATTGTTTATAAATAATCACCGAGCGTTAGGTCATTCAAAGACTATCTGAAAAACTTGAAACATCTTTTCTGACTCCTTTTGCGCAATATGCACAAAGCTACTACACAGCTAGATGCCCAAGGTCACGCTGCATCACAGACGAGCCTGAAATTGCAGGCTAGCCCTTTTACGAGAGAATTACAGCCTTGCTACGTTATCTTTCATTCATACCGGAGGCGGTTCGTTCCGCAAACGCTGCCGAAGCAATCTGCAAGCGTTCAAAAGCGGTCCTGAATTGAAACAAATTAGCGCTTCTGATCACTTTGTCATGGTTCCTCATATCGGATGCTCAATACATGCCAAATGGTATATGTTCATCTACACCCGGATTCACATATTACCGTGATTCTTCTTGTTCCTCGCTCGAGGGTGTAGGAGAAAAGTACACTCGGCAAAGTGGCGCCATCCATCTAAGGGGGGTGGATCGGGGATGCGTGGCTTGCTACACCGCCGCAATTATGTCACCAGAAGGAACAGCCTCGCCCTCTGCACCCCTGGCGTCCGCGGGGGCGATCCCAGGCCGGCTCCTCGGGGCCACCTCCATCCATCGCCGAGCGCCATGCATGAATCATATCGACACGAGGTCGACCTTTCGATATTGCCTCCCCGGTCCCTCGGCTCTCCGCGGAAGTAACTCCCATCTCTGTTACCCTTTGCGGAGTTTGTGTGCCGCAAATGTTAACGACGAGTTTGGGAAAGGAAACTGTCCTCCGGTTGAGATTTGCTACAACGTAGCGTCACAGCCCTGGTCGTAATAACTTCTCCCTGCGTACATGAGGCCATTTGTTTAACATTTTATGATGTACATTAGTCTAAAAGTAAAAGCTCGACGTTACACCACAAACCATAGAAATGCACACTGTATACACATGCTAACTGCACTGGAACACTGACACAGTAAAAAGATACGTTTTGTCACCCTCAAATCCGAAAATTGCAGAAAGACTAGTGTCAATCACAAGACTACAAATGCAGTGCGCTAATCAAAAGGGACGCTACCACTCTAATATCCATCATTATTGATCATAACTATATTGAAATATTAAGTATATGATCCATAAAAGAGCAGCAGCTACATGTAGGATCATATTGAAATTCATTTGATGTATCGAATGAATGTTCTATTTGTCCAAGAGATCAAATACAGAAGGTAAATTTTGACCCTACCCAGAGCCCTCTGATTTAGATTATTTAGATTTCTTTAGTGAAACATGAAACGTCTTTGGAAAATGTAGCCAGGGCCTTTCATCAGGCAAAAATATCTTGTGTTTCAAAGCGTGCCCAGAAAAGCGTATGAACAGCGTATCGGTGCCCTCCGGCGTACCCATATTTAATGTAACAGATACTCATGACTTATTCTGAAAAATGACATCCCAGGACGAAAATTGAAATTGATCTCCTACATCTAGTCTTGTGGCCCAATATTCCGGCCGAAGATGTCACCATGTATTATTCATATTTATACTGGTGTTCATATAAAAATATGGTATTACAGGTTTGCTTTCGCAATTTTGTGATCTTGACCTATGAATAAATGATTCTTACTTCTCCATATACACATACACAAATACACGTACACGTACACGTACACTTATACATACGTACTAGTACAAACTACACTTTGAAGATTAAAATTAGTGCTCTCCATTAACATACAGATGAATATAAGGGCATATTTTTTTGTTACGTATAATTGCAATATTCTCCTATACACCGATTTTGACGCATCCTGACTCCCAATTAGACCTCTATGAATGCAAAGCTATCCATTCCTGCACAGGAATTGTCATAATCATCATAATTGATTTACATGATCCTCCACAGAAATGAGTTGGGATTTCCTATGACATATTGCAAAGGATAACAGATAGCGCTGCAGTGTAGCCCTCAGATAGCGGTATATTGGAATTAAACTTGGTTATGTGCAGTGCAGATAAATATACATGCCTCTAGAGATGTCATAAGTTTACAGTGCTTCAATAAAGACACTCGTAGGAAAATTCTGAAGAGGCCGTCTGAAGAGATATGATTGTAAACGTAAACCCTTGGCTACAAACCTTACAGGCTTCAACATAGTTAGTTTCACTATCATTCTAACAACAGTTGTGGTCATTTCCCCGACCATGGCAGAATATACTACATTGTTACTGAAGTTAAAGGTTAAATGAAGTGGCATGCATGCATTGTGTGAAACGCTACCTCGTCATGTATTCCTATGTTGAATAAAACATCTCCTGACTCCACGTCCAAAGGCAAAGCTCTGTGCCGAAGATGTCAATGGGGAAGTGAAAAGCGACTGAGCAGATGTAGCGATGCATACATGATAGGGCTTACACAGGCACGCGCGGCAGCTTTTCTAATAAATCTATAATGAAGCGGTAGTCATCAAACCACTCCGCAACTACGCGTGCACACCTACGTGGAAAACGTTTCGTACCGAGAACCCCAAAACTCATCAACGTTACGCGGCAATGTGTACCGACCATTTCCCAACGTTGCACCAACATTTCCCTCTACGCCTTTCTTTCTTCATTACCTCCCCAACTCCCACGCACACACACGGGCAATTCTTTCACTACCACACATGATTTAGCCGGGAGTAACTGCCTTCGCTTCTGCCCCATTTACTCCATCTACCGATCAATGCCAGCTACGTACACTGTACATCAGTAAAGTAGCTGCCGTACAAATGGCAAGGACTTACCGTTGATCCCTGCTAGCGTTAATGGCTGGTACATGACTCTCCCCGGTCTTTCCTTGATTGCCTTTTTGATAAAAGCCTCCTGATCTACAAGGCCGGCCATTTCTGTGGAAATCTTTCTCGCGGCTGTGTGATTCCCAAAGGCTGGTTTTCTCCCGAGCGGGATTGACCCGAGGCGTATGTTTTTGCGATGCCCTAATTTAGATCCGGTGGAAGGTCTTGAACGATGGGGAAGCTGGAGGTCCGGAAGCACCGAGAATTCAACACCTTCGAGAAGGTCCCGTTTGGATGGAGACAGACCGGTGTTGTCTACCTGCCTTGTTATCAGCATCAGGCTGCAGAGGGAAACCCCGGTCAGCACGAGAAGCGCCGGGGTTCCTAATCTCATGGTGGCCCGTGAAAGCTTGAGCAGCAGGCGGGCCATCAGCAACTTAGAACCGACAACGCCCCCCTAGCCCTCTCGGTACAACTCGACAGTTCTCTACCAGGCGTAGTTGCTTCCTCGAAAGTGCAGAGCCTAGACACCTATTCGAAAGGAGCACACCATTTTCTCCAACACTATTGGCATACTGTAAGCAGGAAGGCTAGACCTGACTGTTATATGATGAACTTTCCTCGGATGTGACACTGAACAGTCGGCAAACCTAAATGGCAGCTGGTTTTCCAAGAATATCCAGTTAACTGCCGGTCTCTCACCTCCAACACGTACTCAACGCGCGCGAGCGGTTAGGAAAGGTTGTCCATGACCCGTGCTAATGTAGAGATGTTCGTACTCACCGACGGTGCTTGCACTTACAGCGACCTCCTCTGCTAAACGTGCTAAGGGAAGAACGATATACGCTTGTCTCCTCGCGCGAGCACCCTCCTGTTTCATACTAAGTTCAGTCTCGCTTGCGGAGAGTCCAATAGGTGATGACGTTAAAACTCATCGAAAATTTATGAGAAAATCTGCAGAATAGGCTGGTCGAGAAAAGACCCCAAGTCTCTTAAGGTTAAGCCGCTAGTAAAGTGAAATATTAAAGGCGTTCCTTTCATTATCACTGCGCGGATTCACGCCTTGATAAATCCGCCTCTTCCCCATTGCCCTATCCGCCCAAGTCTATTACTGCCCACCCAGCCTTGCAAAATTGCACATTTGAAGAGGATTCAATCCCAGTGCACAGTGTGCCGAGGGAGTGAGAGATCTAGAGGTTCTCTTGTGAATGCAGGACTGGAATGGACGGGTGCAGACATTATGGATGAGGCTCGTCACAGATATCGTTTACTCGGATGTCTAACCTTCATTAACGAAGGGGGCCGGTACAGTCTGTAATGGCTCAATATCCATTCTAACCCTAACGTTGACAAAGACAGCATGTCGACTGGTGATTCCGTCAGGAATTAACCAGAAAACCAGATGGCGCCCAACTACGGGTGAGCGCAAACAACCATTAGTCATTTTCTGCTACGTTCATATATATATATACAACAACAGACAGGCTTTACAGTTCATGTAGTAGTATGTACTAGCAGTAAAACTAACTCGCTATTTACTGAAAATAGGTACTGCAATCATCGCACAATATATAAGGTTCAATATATATTCACGGCAGTGTTATGTAGGTTAGCCTCTTGTGCATAGCATCAAACTGTGCAGGCAAGATTGTAACGTATCGCCTCATTTCGCCAACGCGCTTCTTTTGATTTATGATTATGCGTTGTGGGATGCAACATTTAAGATGACGTGTGGATTCTGAACCGCAATTTACCGCCCGGCAAGAGCGACGCTGGCAACCGTACCGGCTCTATCGCTTCAAGCCCGCTATACCTCAGAATTAACGGGCGCACATTCAAAGGTTGGCGTCGTTAAGGGACAGTTTCATCCGTTGAACGATAACTTCGCGCTGTCAGACGATTCTGATAACGTGTCAGATTTGGAGGGTCGCGAACACGCTGACGCCCCCCTTACACGCCCTCACAGCCTCAGGACGTGTTCCCGATGCTATAGATTTCATTCACGTGTGGGGTGAGGATATTTTGACGTAACCCCAACATCATTTTCCAGAGGACCAACTCTACCGACCAGGATGTCAGCTCCGGGCAGATTGCATTAAATAAGACCAGTTTTCCGGCGGGTGTTGTCAGGAATCTTTGATCTACGAGCCTGGAGCTACGTGGAAATATCACCGTCTTGTGCTGCATCCGAAGGTTACCTTGAAAGCCAATCAAACTTGTCAAGAAGGCCCCACTGTGTACTTCAGACAAAATTACGATCTATCTATCACAACGGCTCAGAATCGTATAAAAGGAACGTCCAGAGAGATAGGGAAAGAATTTCACTTGATACTCAAATGTGCATTATCATTACATGCATTGTACGTAAAACGAAAGCTACCAACGTAACGGTTTTCAGTTGGTGAGGGCCTGTAACCGAAAGTAAACCCCAACCCAGACTGAGGAAAAACGACAGGACATAGCTGACTACCTACCCGCGCCCGTGGGTATACTGTGGATTTGAGAGGCCGTTACCATATGTATAGAATACTACGTCAGTACCTGTCCTTGGTGCTGAAAAAGCACCACAACAACACTCGGTGACATGACTACCGCCCGAAGAGTTAGGATTACACTACAGGGAATAGAGAAAATTTCTCATAAGCCTATCAGCCTTGCAGGTACAGACCTGCCGAGTGCCGCATAAGCCTCGCCTCCCTTCGATCCATCCAAACTAGCCTTCCAGACCATAGCACACATACAGGCACGGGGCGGAAAGCTCCAACTGCGCCTACTTCCAATCATTGCGTTAACTACATGGGGGATTCTGTGGGATTAAAACGGGCGTCAAGATGGTTTAGCGCGTGTAAACGCTTCCCTGGGTTGATATTAGGTGATGGGCGAAGCAACCCGTCGTGTTGGTAGAAGTAATCGAGTACTGGTCAGGCGAACCCATCCTCTCACAAGACAAGGGGAGACTTGTAGTATACGTATGCTAGTCGCGCACGGTCTGACATCTACCTCGGTAGAGAAATAACCTGAATATCGACAGATTACACATCTATTCTGGACGGCGATTTCAAATCCCTACAAAGTGTTGACAATCTAATTTTGGTTCCGAGTCAAATAGAATCGATAATGATGTTTTTTTTTTCAATCAAAGTCTCATGAGTCCAGGGGCCCCTCCATTGCAATTAGATAGACCTGTACCAGTCTTTAATTGTTAATTGTGTTCCTCTGCCAAGGCACTTCATTTGTATAAGTACATAACAAAAATAGTACAACGAAAATTATAGTAAAAGATAGCTCGATGGCGTGAACTAGGTATTTTTTGTAAACTTACTCTAAGTTATAAAAATTTGTTGTGCTGAAGCTTGTGTATATAATGAAAAGCATATACCAATGACTCCAATGTTTATTCACTTACAACATTATGACAAGAAATGATGCTTACGTTCGATAAGCTGGTGTTATGCTTGCCATTTTATGATAATGAATAATGCATCTGCCTCTCGCAAGCTTGGTAATGTTACAGTTGAGAGCAGTAATTTTGTACATCATCCAAGATAAATGGGAAAACATCAAGCGTTGAGCCCATTCTGTCAACGCCTTCTACCCTTTCATATTGGAGCCAGCCATGCATGTGTGTGACTACGTAGAAGTGAGGTCCGGCTGTGTAAACCATTAATATTTCAGACATGAAGTTGCGCTGTGGGAACAACGCAGTTGTACCGTATACTGCACTTCCTTCCTTAGTTATTCCTTCAACTGTATACTGAGTCTGTATCTGTATCTGTATACCAAGTATAACCGCCCTTCAGCATATCACACAAGCTTTGACGACCAGTATTTCACATTGTAGGTGGTTTGCATGTGACTACGTAGTATAAACAATCACCACATGGACATTGTGACTGAGCATGCAAATGCAACTGGCACCACATAAAATGACCCCTTCCTCCACAATCTGTAAAGTTGGTTCTCACCTGTATTCTCACCTGTAGACGGTCGATAGGTACCCCTGCTGGGGTAATGAGACCGCTCTTTGGGTATCTTTTTTGACTGTGAACTGGAATTTCTTTGCTACACAGTATTTCCAGTAATATAAAGTTCTGTAGGCCCTATGCTGCACAGTGTATGCAATCAACAAGGTACACAAATAACAATTAAAGTATTCTCCAAATATACCCAAACACCTCAAATAGTAAGATTGTCAAAAACTTATCCTATGTATGCAGAACCTACAATTTATTAAATGTATAATAATCAAGCAGAGGTTTTTGTAACCAGAGTTTCAGTTGAGTATGTATAGAAGGACTCCCTGTCTGAGTTGTCATTAGAAAGGTAGAGGTGCTGCTGCTATAAGCCTGTCAGTCATTGGTGAATTCTCCTTCAGTGCCTTCCTCTCAGCCAATAGGGCCCTGGGACACAAAGACATCTGTATTAACAGCCATAGCATGATGAAGAGAAATGGTGCAAAGATTTTGACAGTGATAATGTAAATTCTTCTTTAATCTAGATCTTTCTCTTTAACATTCAACCTGCTGCCTAACCCACTAATTAATATAGAATTAATTGGTAGTCAAAAGACTACATGAGCACACAAAAAAAATGTGAACTGAATAGGCATCTTTGTGAGGTTGACATCCAAAGTGTTGGACATGATCCAAATATTCTGGCACTAGATGCAGTTTCTAGAGATCTAATTATCTTGACAGGGTAACCTCAGGAAGGATTGAGCACCTTATTAAACTGTACTGCTGCCATAGTTTGCTGAAATTTAACCAAGTCCAAGTGACCTCAAGAGCATTGAATTGGGAAAGATCTATCGTGGGGTTGTGTAGTGCAACGGCAGAGTGCTCGACTCGGAACCAAGAGGTCCCGGGTTTGAGTCCTGACATGCCACCAATCTTGTGCCCTTGGGAAAGGCACTTAACATGACTTTCCTCACTTACATGTAAATCAAGTGACAACAAGTATTGCCCTGTCCTATTTGTTTCTATGTGTGGGACACATCACCAGCAATAGCTGCCTTTTCCCCACGTGTATTGTATTGTTACAATTTCAATAAATCAAATCAAGATTGAGAGTAAGTGGAGATGGTGCTCACCAGAATGTCTAACCTTCTCCTTGCTGCCCAACCCTGTAATCAATACAAATTTGGTGCCAAATGGCAACCTTAGCAGAGTGAAGGTTAAAGAGTGAACAAACCTGGCTAACTGGTGGTGACGGGTCTCAGACGATCTGATGGCAGCGTGGATCAGAAAGAGGTGGAACAAGTCCAGCTAGAAACAAATGACAACAAATAAACATGTTAACAATCAAGCACAGAATTCCGAAAGCCATCGAAACAAAGCAAATTGACAGAAAAACAATGGAATGGCTTTAAAAATTCAAGATCTTGATAAAATATGAAACAGAAAAGTTTACAACTTTATGACCAATCTTGTGATCAATTTTAAGTGCACAGTGCCTGATTGTTGATGAGTAAGTCTGATCTCACCTGTGCCTTACTGCCCCCTATTGATCCTACCCGGTACCGCATGGGTGCCATGAGATCCACAGCTCTGGCATAGTCTCCCTCATCATAAGCCACAAGAGCCTCACAGATAGGAACTCCCACCTCTTTAGCAACAGTGGGCTGGGTTCCCTCTTCACTGGAAAAATGAAAAAAAATGTGTACATTTCTGCACTCTTGTGAGGACTATGACACCAAAGTTCATTGTGGATTTCATAATAATGGCATCGACATTGAAACCACAAGTTTTCTTCATATGCTTTCTGATAACTACTTGAAGGTTTCCTACCAACTTATAGTCTACATTTACCTGACAAAACTTCTAAGAGACTCCATCATTTTCTTGGTGGAATCTTGCTGCTTGGCACCAAGGCAGGACAGAAGGAGGTGAACATCCTTAAAGATGGCGACTCGTTCTTCCAGATCAGACTCGCACATCTTGTACGTGTCATCCCATCTGTCTGCCACATCCACCCCTGCACATAGGAATTAACAGGTCAGACTATAGACCACAATTCAAACAAATATTGGATGGCTTAATTTGAACAAATTTAAGGGTTCTTTCTATAAATAGATAAAGTTTCAAACAACAAAATGCTTTCAAAGATTTCAAAGAAGCTGCTAATGAGACCAAACCTAAAAAGAAACAAAACAACAGATCCTTTGCTTCAGCACCAAGGACAGACACAAGGAGGGCCTCATTCAAACTCGACCCCTTATCTTATCAACACCTACCTTTGCACGTACCAAATATCATTACTGGCCACAAACATGTGGAATCACAGACAGATACACAGAAACACATACACACAAACTGGCAGGCAAACCAAAAACAATACTTCTGCTTTGTGGAGGTAAGGACTAGCAGTACTTCACACCTTCCATGTTGAGTCTGAAGAGGAGAGAACTGGTGTCCGTGATGAAGGCATCTTTCCTGCCCTTGTACTGGTTGTCAAAGATCTTGAGAGCTGCAGAGTAGTCCCCCTTCTCCATGTGGTAGAGTGCCCAGTGCCAGTAGCAATGGCCAGCAAACAGGTTACAACTCTGGATCATGGAATAAATGTTTTTAGTCAACTTAAGATCCAGGCGGTAAGGTGGTCTAGGGTTCTTGACTTAGAATCTGAAAGGTTCTGGGTTCGAATTCAAATCCCTAGCAGGCCCAAATGTTGTGCCCTAGGGAATTTTACACCTACATGTACTCTTTGAATTCACTTAACTCAGGTGAAACTGAATACCTACATATTTGGTTAGGGATGAGACTGGAGTTCCCATGTTTTAGGATACCCAATGCACTTATCGAAAAGAGCAGGGGCCCATCCTGCGTGTGAGTAGATCAAATATTACAGTCCTTAGTTTTGCAGTATAAGAATAGCCAAATCGTGATCTTTTACCAAAGGAACATTATGCATCGTATACTCACACCCCAGTCTTGCAGGGTGTTTGACAAGAAGCTGATGCCCTCTTCCTGCCTCCCCTCCATCTCCATCACATGGCACACTGCATGGGTCGCCCAAATGTCCCGGGGGTTCAGCTCAAGGGCCTTTGGACAACAGCATAATATTTTACATGTTTAATACCATGGGTTCAGGTGAACATTATCAGGTTTTACATCTGAAGATGATTACTTACTAGTAGTATCTTATCTTGTGTAAGCCCTAGCAAAACTGATGGCCAACACATCTGTTAATGACTCAATATAAGTGTTCGATTGCGAGAATTTGTATCTCTGTCAAGACTTCTGGCATTTTCATAAGAGTAAGAAATCTCACCTTCCTTGCTGATTTTTCAGCTTGAGTGTAGAAGTTGGTTTCCACAAGTCCAAAGGCATGCATTCCATGCAGGTACCTATCATAGTGCAAAAAAAATTATTGTAAAATTATTGCAAGCAAGAAAACTCAGTGTTTCATCAAATTGTCGTACAGCTAAAATAATCTACATGATCGAAACAAAACAAGATGCTGGGCTTCTGTGGGTTTTAAACAAACTGCGCTGTTGCTAGTATACCATTATATCATATTGCCTAGAGCAGCTGCCATGCAAGACAAGAATAGATGAGGAAACAGTGCTCCCCCACAGTCTATTTCTTCCCTTGCAGCATCTGTGGCTGATCATGTGCGTCCAAAATCGGTCTTCATTCTCACATGAGGACCCACCTCTGCAAATGACCTGTCTGCCTACTCATCTGTTGCATCGACAGGAGACTCAAACATATTGCCAAATGTACCTCACAAGTTTACCTCTGGGCAATTATATTAGGAAATTTTCATTATGCACTCCTTGAACTAGAATCACACAATATTCTCACCCATACAGAGGCATGCTAGGCTTCCATGCTGGGAGCACTCTAGCAGCAGAGTCCCTCAGCTGTGCGGAGTATCCAATGTCGTAGTAGGAAGCCTGGGACAGCTTCAGAGCCAGGATGTCTGTAGGATATTCCACCAGAATGTTCTCCCAGGCATTACATGCAGCAGGTATGTCCCTAAGGGATGCAACAAACAACACAATCATATCAACTGTAACATTTCTGAAAATCAATCATAAAAATCTATATTACTAATGGAATGGCAATAACAGCCAACAAGAATAAAATGTTCAATGCAGCATGGAAAAGGAGTATGCATGTTGCCAATGCTGGCTTAATCAATTGCATCTAGATCTTAAGTCTTTCATGAATAGTCTTGTCAGGTTGGTGAGTCACACATAAAAAGAATGTGTGTTGAGAGAAATGCATCTACAAGGAGCAACACCTGTGCTGTGTCAGAATTGCACTAAGGAAGGTGACAGACAGTTACAGAAATGTTGGCAGAATAAAACACTTGGTTTCATAAAAAAGGGTTTCTTTATTCATCAAAATACTATTGAGAAGTCCTTGTAAGCTTGTACCTTCCTGCCAGTAGACGTATGGCCTCCACATGTTGTTTTTCCCTGGATGTACAGTTGTTCCCCTGTGCTGATCTCACCAGGTCCTCAATGTCCTTCTTCAGCTTCTCATCTCTTGTAATAGACTTTCCACCAAGTTGGAACCAACCACTCACCACCTTCCCCATAACTGTTTGGAATCAATAAAACAAAGAATCAGTAACCAATACGATTGCGGATATGTCTTCTATGCTTCGCCATCGACAAAGGACTTCCTGATTTTTTTTGGCAAAATGCAAGACCTTTTTCGAATCACGAATCACACTGTCACTGTACTGCCTAATAGATTCATTTCACAGAACAATTGATTTGAAACTAGAGAGAGATCAAAGATTATACATGTAATATTATTTACCAAAGTTGGGATCTGCTTGGTTCATCTTCTCCATAGCTCCCATCAGGCCACCAACACTGTCATCATCATACCAACCAATATACTAAAGCAAGAAAAGAAAATAGTCTGTCATCCTTGCCATGTGTTACATGGATATTTGTGTATATTTCAAATGATCTGCTTGACTACTATGTATTACATAGCTACAATAACATCTGAAGACTGGGTCAGCGCTAATATATTAGGGGAACAACAGACAAAAGTCCAACATGTAGCTTGCTGTCCAATAATTTTTTGTTTGGAGTATATAACCCATCATGTACTTAATCAGTCCAGAGTATACCTGTGTAACTGCAGCATCGAACATCTTACAGGCTTCATTACTCGTTGTTGAAAGGGGTAGTCCTATCTTGGACCACTCCTGGAAAATAGAAATATGACAACTGAAGTACTAATGCTGACAAAAGGACTATAATGAAGCAAACAATAGGGTTATATTATCAACATTATTCACCATTCAGCCCTTTTCAGGTAAAAGATAAATAAAGTAAATAATAACTAGAAAGGTAACATTTGCAAAAGAAAATGCATGTTCACCTTAACATGGTTTAGTCTAACAAACTACTGCTCTGTTTATTGTTGCTCATTAACGATTCGTATATTATAGTATGGTGACCAGCCCCAACAACTGGCTACATAATGTAAAATGAAACCACAAGGTGTCTCTTACAGCTCCAGTTAACTAATGCTAACAGAGGTCTGATCCAGGTCATTGTCCTTATGTGTTTCAAGAAGAGACAAAGCAAAGATGATATATTTTCCTTCTGTGAAGAACAGCGAGCAGATTATTATTGGAATGAGCAGAGCACTTTGGACTAATGCCTCTGACCATTTACAGCTTAGAGGTACATATCCAATATTTTGTCAAAAACTTCTCTGTTACATAGCGGATCATAATGACCCCCAGTGGGGGTCTTCACGCTTCGTTAAAAATTGAAAAATCTCAATATTTTAGACGAAATCTTGAGATCTTATGAGACAATATTGAGATTTTTTATGACAATCTCCAGATCTTACAGAAAATCTTAAGATGAAAAGAAAAGGTCTCAAGATCTTTCCAAATGTTTTCAAAAGTATCTTGAGATTTTTCCATAGCATCTCGAGATGCTTTAAGAAATATCAAGATTTTTAAAGCAATCTTGAAAAACCGTGAGATCTTTTAAACAATCTTGATATTTTTTAAAGCATCTCGAGATGCTTTGGAAAAATCTCAAGATACTTTGAAAACATTTGGAAAGATCTTGAGACCTTTTGTTTTCATCTCAAGATTTTCTGAAAGATCTGGAGATTGTCATGAACAATCTCAAGATTGTCTTATAAGATCTCAAGATTTCGTCTAAAATATTGAGATCTTTAGAATGAATCTTGAGATTTTTCAATTTTTAACGAAGCGTGAAGACCCCCACTGGGGGTCATTATGATCCGCTATGTAACAGAGAAGTTTGTGACAAAAGATTGGATATGTACCTCTAAGCTGTAAATAGTCAGAGGCATTAGTCCAAAGTGCTCTGCTCATTCCAATAATAATCTGCTCGGTGTTGAAGGTAAATATAATAATAAAATCATATGATAGAAACTCCTCATTACCTGACAGTCTCTCCAGTGGCTGTGCATGTTGTTAATCAGAGAACCCTGCGAAAATATTACCATGTCATTGATTACTTATCATAGGAATGTTTCACGAATCAACAGTTCATGCATGCTTATAAAGCTGCATTTCTTCTTTGGTCTCTTAGTGTCACTGATGAAAGATAGTGGATGCTACCTGAAACGTCTGACCGTTTCCAAAATCATATCCAGTTGCTGGAGTAACTGCTTTTTGGCGCATAATACCTGCATGTCTAACCAACACACTTAGGAATGTTATTTGTTTTGAACCTTTGTCAAAACATTAAATATTTTTACACAAAATACACCTGCTGGTTGGTTTTAATTGTAACTGTTATAACATATGGGTTACAGGATTATAACTGTAGTGATACTGAATATACTGTTACAGTACTGTACTATAATACTGATGTAATGTGGTTACTTTTTGGAGTGTGCATTGCAAGTCAACGTTATGGTCAACTTGCTGGCTGGACTTTGATCGGGTATCAAACATTGTTCCAAGGCTGATATAACAGCACGGTTCTTAATGTCTTACTCACCTGTACAGATCTGAAGTTGAAGGTTGAGTTAAGTTTGTACAGAGGAAGACCAGTTGTATGGACACACCACTGGTCACTGACAGACTGTTGACAATATGATGACCCCACCACACACAGGAACAGGTGGTTGACAGTCTCATTTGCATACACTGGTCTGAATAGACAAATCCTTGAGCTGCCACATACATGAGAGGTCAGGTGTTTAGGGCTAGGGTTAGGGTTAGGTTTGGTATAAGAGTTAGGGTTAGAGTTGGGATCATTGTTCAGGATCAGTCTCCCATTGCAACTTAACCCCTTCCACCCCTTGTTTCAGGTATATTGGAAAGTCCCAAGTAGTGTTGGAGTCATGTATTTGGCAGGATCATATGGCTTGACCCTTATTGGTTGTGCTACCAGGGGTCACGCCCCCTTGACAAATTATCTGGGAAAACCTGTTCTCCCATCAGCATGATGTAAGTAGAACTACCTTTTTCCTAGATACAAATGTACAGTGTAAAGGCAGACTTCAAGGCATACTTTCTAAATAAAACAGCACAGTTAAAAATGACCGTTACTAATTATGATTGCCATGTAATGTTTATATGTTCAAGAGTTTTTTCACTACTGGGTTAATTTAATTACTTATAAGGGCTAAAGCTTACACACACATATTGCCTATTATCATTTATTCACTCACTGAAGGATATAGGAACAGTCATCTGGTTACTAAAAAATAGATCCTTTAAGTTAGCAGAATATCATATCAATAATATTCATAATTGCCAAGAAGTTTGTATTGCTGTTGTTGTAGTTGGCCTTCTTGATTTCTGTCTAATTAAAGCTAAAAGCTCCATATACATATTTTTTTAATCACTGTCTTTAACAGTGACCAAACAGTTCTACAATCAGAAGTACATGATTATACATGTAGGTGGTCAAGGAGTATCATAATAATAGCATTTCTCAGTTAATTACTCTCAATCAAACATATGGATAATCATATTTCAACCATGATATATAAAAATTACCATAATATTATAGTATGATAATCATATTAGCTTACAAAATATTGAAGCCACAGCTTTGCACACCTATACCCACACTGCTTTTTTTGTCACTGGAATCTCATGAGATTTCTTGCAAATTTTATCATGAAAGAAGAGCCTATGCCAATGTTTGGGCTCTATACATCTGTAGCAAAGTCCTAACACAGATCTTTACAGAGGCAACTTGGCTGCTGCTTCCACCAGTCGGTCAGTGAGGGGAGAATTTTCTTTCAGTGCCTTCCTCTCCATCAAAAGGGCCCTGGAAGACAATTTAATATCAGTATGTGAAAATTATGCTCTATCAGATACACTTGTCACAGGGTTAAACCATTGAGTCAACATCAATGTTAGACCACACATTTTTATCAGTTGCACTTTTGTTCAATTTTTAAAGATTAAAATTAATTTTTATCAAAATAAAATGTATGTACATATATACAAATGTAGTTCAGGAACACTATTTGCAACTTTATGTCTAGGTCTTATCAATACAAATGATAATGATCAATCTGAAATTTAGAACAAACTACATTTAGATGATTCAATCAGGTAAGGATCTAGATGCTATCCTAGAAACGAAAGACAAGACTAGAAAGGCCGACATTTGCTTGAGAGCAAATGCAGCAGATGGCTTCACCACATCCCCCATACCGAAAATGGATCTATCCTACGATGGCTGCCAATAGTCTACACCCCCATGCAGCAATGGAACCTTCCAATGCCGGAAATAGCCAAAAAGCCCTATTTTACATAACTTTAAAGTGGTGTATGTCAAAATCGAGAATGACATTCTTTGGACATGTGTCCAAGGTATCCCCATACCAAATTTCAGGTCATTCGGATTTAATATTAGGGCACAGGAGCCAAAAATGTACATTTTTGGTCCGAAAATAGCAAAAAAGCCCTATTTTACACAATTTTAAAGTGGTATATTTCAAAATCGTGAATGGCATTCTTTGGACATGTGTCCAAGGTATCCCCATACCGAATTTCAGGTCATTCAGATTTAATATTAGGGCACAGGAGCCAAAAATGTACATTTTTGGTCCGAAAATAGCCAAAAAGCCTTATTTTTCCCAATTATAAAGTGGTGTATGTCAAAAGCTTGAATGACTTTTTGTAGACATATGTCCAAGGTATCCCCATACCAAATTTCAGGTCATTTGGTTTTAGTACCTGGGAACCAGATCTCAAAATGTATATTTTTGCCTGAAAATGGCCAAAAACCCAAATAAAACAATTTTTCAAAAAATGAAAAGAACACGTCAGGGTATTTGCCCACTCTACCTTCATGCCAAATTTCGTGTTATTTGGCCAGAAAATGGCAGAGATGAATCCATTTAAAGAAATGGCAGGAGGAGAAGGAGGAGAAGGAGAAGAAGAAACATGAGGGAACACAATATGTCTTCACCACTTTGTGGTAAAGACAAAATAATACACAAAACATTACTGATAATGAGCTGACTCACCTTGCTAATTTCTGGTGCTGTTTGTTGGGTGACCTGATGGCAGCATTGATCAGACACAAGCGGAACACATCCATCTGCATGGAAACACAACAATCCATCATGAAGAGTATTAAGAAAACAATGAATGGGAACAGAACCTGTCACATACACCATTTTAAGACTTGGAATTTTACTCCACTCACACAAGCTAGAGGGGTGTACCCTCAGCTGGTTTTTATTTGTTGTAGATAAATATGGAGGATTTCTACTGTGCTCAAAAAGGGATCTCCATCTTAACATCTCATCTCAAAAGCTATAGCATACTCAGGACTCATCTTCAACCATTTTCACAGAGTACGCATGTTCTCACCTGTGCCTTACTGCCCCCTATGGACCCAATCCGGTACCGCACGGGTGCCATGAGATCCACGGCTCTGGCATAGTCTCCCTCATCATAAGCCACAAGAGCCTCACACACAGGAACTCCCACCTCCTTAGCAACAACAGACTGACTCCCTTCTTCACTAAAAAAACAAAACAAAGTACAATGTATATAACATAATATAGCAGGATGAATTTGTATCATGTTGCCTTAGATTTAGCCCCAATGCTTCTGGTGATCTTTTAAGTTTCGACAGTGAACTGTACTTGACAAAATGACAGACAATTGCCCTAAGGGGGTAATAAAAATCTCAATTCTAAGACCATGTAGATGTGGCTTTTACCCCTTAGCCTAGTCTTCTTTAATTCTGTCCTTTGGACTTATCTCTCTGCCTTCCTTTTTTTCCATACTACCATTTCTATGCAATTGTTTTTGTAGTCACCTTACAAAATTTCTGAGGGACTCCATAAGTTTCTTGGTGGAATCTTGTTGCTTGGCCCCAAGGCAGGACATAAGGTTGTGAACATCATTGAAGACAGTGATCCGTTCATCCAGGTATGGTTTGCACATTTCGTAGGTGTCGTCCCACCTGTCCCCCACATCCACACCTACATGTATTTGCAGAAGAGACAAAATGTGTCATATGTAATAAGAAATGGCTCCACCCCTGATGTGTTGCCAAAAATCAATGCATCTTTCATAGCCACTTTTGATATTCTGATAAACCTCTTTATGAGATGAAGTATGTGTAAGCACAAATAGCTATTAAGTTCTCTTAAGAGTCTTTTTGACATGTTCTTCTCCTGAAAGAACTTTTGGTAACGTTACTTGTAACAGTGTTTTTTATTAGTGGTACAGTAATAGTGGTAGTAGCCAAATACTAGTAGACACTCAAAACATACATTTTATCTTATTTTAATTAGTATATATATAACCAACACAGCAAAAAGAGCCTTCTCCACAACACAATGCCTTAACCTTTAACACACTGACAGAGCCACTTGACTACCAATTCTCCAGCTATGTGGTTAGGCAGCAGGTAGAAGGTTAAAAAAACTTCCCACCTTCCATGTTGAGTCTGAAGAGTAGGGAGCAGGGATCAGCGAGGTAGAGGTTTCTCTTGCCCCAGTACTGTTTGTCATAGATGTTCAGCGCTGCGTAGTGCTCCCCTCTCTCCACATGGTACAGGGCCCAGTGCCAGTAGCAATGGCCGGTAAGGGTGTGTTTCTGTGGGTGATAAGCATCAATCAATTAAACAATCAATTTGTTAATCAATAAATCAATCAATCAAATCAGCCAGTCAGTCAGTCAGTAAGTGAAGCAGTCAATCAGTCAGTGAGTCAGTCTGTTGTCAGTCAGTGAGTCAGTAAGTCTTGTTTGTTGTCAGTCAGTCAGTGAGTCAGTAAGTCTTGTTTGTTGTCAGTCAGTCAGTGAGTCAGTAAGTCTTGTTTGTTGTCAGTCAGTCAGTGAGTCAGTCAGTCACTCAGTCAGTCAGTCAGTCAGTCAGTCAGTCAATCAATTCGAAGTGCAAAAATAAAAGTGCATTGTAGGATGTTTTTTTATTTGTTGAAAAATGGTAATGTTGAAGTTTCATCAATACTTACATTCCAGTCATTTTCACTGTTAGACAAGAATGCGATCCCTTCCTTCTGTCTCCCCTCCATCTCCATAACATGGCAGATGGCATGTCTCGCCCAAATATCCAGAGGGTTTAGTTCAAGGGCCTTCAAAACAACAAGTAATTTTTGTCAGTAAAAACATTGAGAATACAGTTAACTTTTTTTCATTGGGTTATAAAGAAATTTTACATACCACACATCTAAAACAAGTTCAAGAATGAACAGCACGATCTAAAGTTTCAATGAAATATATATATAATTAAAGGTTTTATTTAGTACCTTTCGTCCAGCCTGTTCTGCCTCTCTGTAGAAGTTTGTCTGTACTCGTCCAAATGCCTCCATACCATGCAAATAGCTACATAAAAGAGGAAGCATACACACAGATTTAAAAAACAATATTGCACATGAGTAAATTTTTGATAGTTACAGCAGCCTAAATTACTAACCTTTTGATGCTAGACTGTACCTACTAGTATATATGGTCTACACAGGCCAGCTTCTCAGCTCTAGGGCCAACATACATGTACCCCCAAGGAAATTTTACCACAGTCCCCTTGAGTAGCCTGCGGTTGCCATCCTCTGTAGTTAACGGCTTGCTCCCTTGTAACCATTAGCCAGAGCTGGAGGTAAACTATGGAGGCTAGCAACCAGGCTATTTAAACTCAAGGGGACTGTGGTAAACTTTCCTTGGGGGCATGTTAGGCCCTGGAAACAGTCGCTTCAAAGCTTTTTGTTGACAAACACCATCTCTATCCTAACCCCCAAAGATTAAAGCATACATGTATGTTGCTCACCCATACAGAGGCATGGTAGGTTTCCATGCTGGGATCACCCTTAAGACAGAGTCTCTCATCTGTGTCACGTCTCCGAGGGTGAAGTAAGACATCTGGGACAGCTTCACAGCCAGCATGTCTGTCGGATGTTCCAACAGAATGTTCTCCCATACACCACTGGCACCCTGCATGTCCCTACAGAATATAATATATTATACAGCAGAAAATGATGACACTTTCTACAAACTCTATTTAACAGTACGCATCTAGCCTAGTGTGACTGGATCAAACCTTACAGGCTCAATTTAATAGCCACCTGTTAATCCTGACTAGAAGTGTGTTACAAGCTTAAGAGGTCCTGTGAATAATTTCATTAGGTTGGAAAGTCAACCAAGTCTTTTTAATATTCAGCTGACCTTTTGGTGACTGTCTGTCACCTTCCTCAGGGCAATTCTGACTGGTTAACATTGCACTGCAGCACAGGTGTCGCTGCTATAGATGCATTTGCAAACGTACAATATTTTACATACGTTCACAGAGAACAGACTCCACAATGCAAAAACAGTTCTAAATGTACAAGCTTAACAGCTCTGCCACTGAAATGAACTAATTGACCAATGAGATGGATACCTGTCTGCCCATAGTTTTATGGCATCCACATGCAGTTTTTCTCGTGATGTTAAGTTGTCACGTTGTGCAGACTGGACCAAGTCTTCCACGTACTGCTTCAGTCCCTCATCTCTACTGGTCGACTTACCACCGAGTTGAAACCAGGCACCGAGTACCTTCCCCATCACTGTTATTTAAAAAAATGGTAGTAATGTTACTATATATGCCGTAATATTCATAACAATGAACTGTACTAAAAGGGTATTACAATCTTATTATTGGTATCACCATCATAATGCAACACAATCATGTCATACCAAAGTTGGGGTCTGCTTCCATCATTTTCTTCATTGACCCCTCCATACCTCCAACACTGTCCTCCTGATACCAGCCAACATACTGGAACAGAACAAGACAGTGAATGTGGTGAGATTGTATGAATTTAGTAA